TTTTTTTTTTTTTTTTTTTTTTCGTACCTCGCGCCGTCGTGGAGTGAGCGAAGGGAAGAAAAGAATGTGGCGTAGGGTAAGGAGCGAGGGTGAAAAGGGCATCAATCTCCGCGAACCGCACACATCGGCTGCTATCGCCGTTGGAAACGGGAAATTGCACAGGCGAGGGAAATAGAGTGCGGGTGAGAAATAAAAAAAAAAAAAGAAAAAAGCAGGAAAAGAGGAGAGAAAGAAACTGCCGAGTTTCATCACCGGAATTAATCGTCCGAGGTCGAAACGAGCACGTTAATCCGCACAATGTTAAGAAAAGCGAAGGTTATCGTGGCGAAGCGAAGGCATCTATCTGGCGCACTCGCTTTTCATTCATACGGACCACGGATTACGCGGGCATGCGCTTTGCCATTAAATGTCCGGTAATATTTCATTGTCTAGCGTGGGGTATTCACACAGTGGATGTGTAACCTCGACGAAGAGTGTACTATTAATAGTTCTCTCAAGGGTCAAATATATAAAGACCCGTTAAAACACACGATACCTTTCTCACGAGATCTGAAACTTGAACCATTCGGCTAGATAAGAGCCGCCGTTGGCGGCCGTTTCCGATTAACTCGATTACTTCCCGTGTCGTGTTGGACGAACATTACAAACGAAAACCGGACGCAAACTCCGCGTTGGCGCCAATATATCTCGACGCATGCATCATCCCTTTTTCCATTGTTCAGCCGCATTCGCTTCGTTTCCCGAAAAGGCACGGCACGGTAAGGCACGGCAAGGCAAGGCAGGGCAAGGAAACGTAAAGCAAGGAAAGGAAAGGCAGGCGCGCAAGCAAGAGGGTGGCGGATGGGCGCAGTTACTGCTGATCGTTAAAAGGCGCATAAAAAAGGGAGAGGAGAAGGCGTTGGGTGGTTGGGATGGCAGGCGGGTGGTAGGTTGGGTGGGTGGGGGAGGTCAGAGGAAGCGGCGCGAGAAGTAACAATAAAAATTCGTCGGCGTTCGTGTTTCGTCGCCGTGGTAGGAGCGCAAGGTGGACGGGGAGAGCGAGGGAGTGCGACGTGAGGAGCACAACGGGGGTTAAAGCGAGGCGCGAGGGAGAAAGAGAGAAAGAGCGAGACGGTCGGACGGCCAGGAGAAAGGGTGAGGGCGAGGGGGGTAGAGAAGGGTGGTTAGGTGGTCGGTGGAGCAGGGTGCGTAATGAAACGATATTGAGTAGCCGTGGTAGGGAGGGTC